AGATAAATTAAAACTGTCATCTAAAATAAAAATATACAATACGACATAGAACATGAATTAGACATTTTTTTATTTTTTTACAAACATTAAAAGAGTTTCAGAAGTTAAAATTTTAATTTTTTATATTAAAATTTTGAAATTTGAATAAATAGGATATGGTTTGAGAATAAGAAGGCCACAAGCCTACACTAAAAACAGTCTTTTGCAACATTCTTTATTACTAGAGTTTATATTAAAATAATATTTATAACGTTTTTTGTTATAATAATTTATGCAGAAAAATGCTTTAGTGCTGCAACTATTCCATATTCTACAGCGCTTCTTCTAATCTAATGTATTAAAAAAATGTTAGAACGAAATTCTCCCACATTATAATACCATTCAATTAGTAAAATCATTTACAAATTGCAATAAAAAAAAATTCAGGGGAATCAATTACAAATCGCAATAAGAAAAAAAAAATGAAAAAGGAGAATCATTTTGCACGGCCTCCTTAGTAATCTTTGCTGTCCTGTGTTGGTAAACACTTGAACCGTTCGTATTCTGCTTCCGTGACTCAAATTCAATGCCCAAATTACGTTTTTATTCTGCCTTCCTTTCATATTCCAAATTTCCAATCAGTTCATGTTTCTATATTTGTAAGAAGAACCAAATGGTTTTCTCACAGGATCTGGACCGTCCATATGTTTCTTTCTCAATGATGGATGGTCAAAATGGAATCAATCTTCTCCCCATGGGGGTTAAGACGTGGATTTTATTGACCTTAAGAAAATGAGAGGAGATAACCTAAAATTAGATTTATTGATAAGTTAGTGTTGTCTTATTGTTTTCTCAAAAATTCTCAAGTAGCTTCACACGTACAGAATCTGAATATAGGTATGCAACTTACGTTACTGAAAACAAAAAATGAGGATTTTTCCAATGATCCTCTCTTTTTTCATGGTCAACCTCCTTATGAATGGTAGAAAGAATGTTGGTTTAAAATTAAAATCTACATCTATAGACGATTTGCAAGAGGAATGGATGCCTTCCTATAGAATCGGTTACCAAATCTGCTTTGGATAGCTCAAAGAACTTAAACACTATCTTGGATTTAAGTTAACAAACCCTAAACGAACTATACAAAATACAACTAAAATAAACTTGCAAGAACAAGATGTATTCAAATTAAATTAAACATGTTCATTATCAAATTAAACTGCTATCTACAAACAGATTTGAAAATTAAACTATTATCTACAAACATATTTAAAAATTAAACTACTATAGAATTAGAGATCAACTCTAAATAACAATAAAACAAATATGAATAGAGACTAAATTAACATGCCTGAAATTGAGAAGAAGCCTGAACCTAAATCTACTGAAGATTGTGCTAGAAACCGATATCTGTAAACTAAAGTGAGCAATCATTAAGAAACTAAAAGTGTAAAAATTTATCAAGTTGAATGTAGGATTGGTTGTGTGTTGAATGATAAAAAATTTTCCTTTTGTTTCTCTCTTCCTTGCCTGTAACTCCCCACTTCATGTAGTTACTTGAACATAGGTAGTTTCTAGAAGAAGTTGGACATCTTAGTAGTTGACTGAGTTAGAATTCCATCTAGATTTCATCACTTGTCCCATTATCAGTTAGTTTACATCTTTAACTGAAACCAAATCCTAGAAACCAACTCCTAAAAACCAATTGAAGCAATCCAAATGTGACTCAAATAGGCAATCAAAAGATAAAATCTCATCTTTTCAACTCTTTCTTTTTTATGTGGCACCTGATTTGTCATGCTACTCAAAATTGCATATGTGATATGGTTAAATCACCTCCATCCATTAAAAATATGAGAAATGATTTTTGTACAACATTTTTGTCATACCTTTTTGTACAATTTTTTTATCTCACATTTTTATACAACTTGACATGTCATTTAAATTATTGGTTCTTTTAATTCATGCGAAACCCATGATATTGAATGCATCTACTCATTTAATGATATATGAAAGTTGTATCAAAATGTGGTATAAAAAGATTGTCTCTATAGCACTACCCTAAAAATATTTGACATGTGGCATAATTTTGAAATTTTGTAATTTATGGTGTAAACACTTAAATATCAACTTTAAGTTTAAATTTTGAGATTAATACTTTAAATAATTAATTAAAATTGATTCAGGAACATTCACCATAAATAAATAATTAAATAAAACAGACAGACTGTCGTTACTCCATTTCTTATAAGAAAACATTTGCGGCAGAATCATCTGATTGGCATAGTCTAGTTTTTGATTTTGCCAAGTTAGGCATATAATTCCCAGTTCTGCTGCCTCCCAAAAACATAAAATATTCTATATTGGATAGAATTGGTTTTTTTTTTTTTTCTTGATAAATTAAAATTGGGTCATTGAGGAGGTCAATTTATTAGTGATTTCTTAACTGAAAAGCAAGCTAGACGTTGTCTTGCGATTTTGGCTAACAGCTCAAATGATGGACAATTGGGTGCCTTTTTGCATCATATATGGAATTATTTGTCTATTAAATTTCAGTTTCAAGTTTCAACGGACCAATTTATATGTCAATTCAAACATGAAAACCTAAAAAGTTGAAAACAATTCAAAAGTTAAGAATTATACTAAACTCTCTTGCTTTAGCCATAAACCATTAAGCCACAATCACCAATTGGGTTAACGTAAACCCTTAAAGGAATACAATTTCAGTGTCATACTGATTCTATCTATTTTTATTTTATTATATATTGCTAAAAGATATTCTAGTACAACTCTAAATTTTTTCTTTCATAAAACAATTAATTTGCATAAAAAAATGAGCCCAAGGCTTCTTTTAGAAACGTTTCTCGTGCTTTATTTTTTTTCATTTTAATGTTATTTTATTACTTTAAAATATTAAAAATATTAATTAAAATAAATATTAATTTTTTTTAATATATTTTTGAAATATTAAAAGACCAAAACCTATAACTACAGTCCAACACTCCCAAACCAAGTCTGAATCCAGACCGAACCTCGACCCAGGCAGCAAAATGTCCAGCCCATATGAAGAAAATGGTACTTGCAACCAGGAACAGGTTGCCTCAGGTAAATGGCCCATATATAGAGGGATCAGATGCAAGTCCAACAACCATTTTCAAGTTAGCCCGTTCACTACCAAAAAAAAGGGCAAAAAGTATATTCCCCTTGAATAGACTAAAGATGGATATTGGAGACTTCTATCATTTTTGCCAGCTTTATATATATATATATATATATATGTAATTTTGTGTATGAATTTTTACCAGCCTTTTTACCATCCCATTTATCTCATCTTAGTTGTTTCAATGGGCAAAAGCTTGAGTTGGCGAATCCGAGTTCAGGAAATTTGAGAGTCATCCACCAAAAAAGGGAAAAATTGAAGGAAATTAGATATATTAGATGGCTGAAATTAATCCTCTAATGGTTCTCTCTCATCAGTGATGATGATGACTAGACACCATTTCTAAAACATCGCACATCATCTTAACAAGGCATTACTGCCTCTTACACAGGAGCTTGCTTTTACTCTGAGTCTGACTCCATATTACCCATTGCCTTCAAACCCCTCGGCCTCTACAGCAATGAAAAATAAGCAAATCTAATAAGAAATCCAATATCATAGTGCAAAACGCCAGCATAAAATAGATGGAGTATTTACCACTGGAATTCACATACCTTCTTTGAGACCTTCTTTTCTCTAACCTCATAACGCTCCAGTGTCAGATCACATAACCATGCGCCAGGGCTTACCAGCTGTGGAACAAATTTCAGTATAAAATCAAATTGGGGTTTATACAAACTATAAAGTTGAATATTTGAAATTCATCTTATCCAATTAATGTGTCAGAAAAGAACAATCATAAAAAGAAAATTTTTATGCTTTTTTGTAGTGGGCGAGAATGTGGTCCTAGCTGGAAAACAATCATCCCACTAGTACTAGATTCCCAAACAGTACCACAAAATGAAAAAATTTAGTCGCTTCCACATCAATAATACATAAATGCTTCTTCTTTTTTTTTTTTAATTTGAATTACCCATAATTTGAATTGTGAAATTATTTAAATATTTTATTAAATAAGATTAACTAAAAATATTTTAATATTTTATGATTTTAATTATATAATTTAGATTATAAAATTTTTTAAATAATTTTATTTAATAAAATTTATTTAAAATATTTTAATATTTTTATAATTTAAATTGTATTTTTTTTTCTATTTAAATTTAAAAATATTAATATACGCTCATTTAATATTGACAAGCCATCAAGTTTCATAAGTTGCTAGGTAAGTAGTCATTTTTATTAATTTTGAAATACAAATCATGGAACATCAAGAATTAAAAGATCAACCCACCCTTTGTTTTTATTGACAAGCCCAACGATTTGTCTATTATCACCACTGATTCAAAACCGTACACCTCCCATTCCAAAAAGCTACCAGCACCAACAAACCAGTCTGCCCCACGGCTGTCCTTTTTCCACAGCCTGCCATATTCTGCTGCCAATTTTGTCTTTTTATTATAATTTTCCGTTTATTTTCGTCAACCTAATTACCTAATGCACAAGAGACGGTACTACCACCTGGTTAAAAAATTATAATTACCAATTATTCTGGCTAAATTCATACTTACACAACTAGTTTTCTATTCTTGTTTTTTTTCTCTCTTTTATTTATTTTATTTTAAAGGTCCACTGTTACAATGGGTTTACCGAAAACCAAGACTTGGTCAATGGTCTGGGCGTAACAAACTTAGGTACACTTCCATGCTTTGACAGACACGTGGATTTTTACATTACATTCTCTCTTTTCATTGGTTTTGTTTGAGGGAAAAAAAATGCACCGCAAAAGCAAAAGATAATATGAAACCTACATTTTAAACGTAAATTGCAAGTCACAACTTTCCTGCTCGAAATTTCCTTTTCAAACTTTAATCACTAAATTTAATTCAATCAATTCAAATAATTGAAATAATTAAAGGAAACACAGAATCAGGAAATCAGGAGGATTTGGAACTTACATTGAGGGTGCGTTGAATAAGCTTTGCCCGTTTCTTGGGTCTTTGTGGCAGCTTAGACCCTTTTATAGCCATGAAATCTTCCTCTTTTTCTTTATTGGTTAGAGCAATCACGAATTTCGGTGGCCACACTGGTGGTGCTGCTGCCGCCTCGCCGCTCCCGGAGGATGACCCTCCTTTCTTGCTATCATGAGCCGTCTCCGATGATGCTGCTGATTTGTTGTTGTTATCATTATTGTTGTGATTGTTGTTGTTGTTGTTGTGGTGGTGGTTGCCTCTCTTATCATGCGCACCCCTGTCCGGTGAAGCGAATCCCCTCACACCACCGTTGCTTTGCCCTCTCATAGCACCGGAATTCTCAGAGTTCCTGAAGATTATGATTAACAAAATTCACATCACAATAATAAGACCAACAGACATATACATATCATGGGAAAGCTAAGGTAAAAGAATTAATTGAAATAAAAGGAAAAGGAATCAAGTAAAGTGTGTAACTGGAAAGTAAAAAATAAAAGTGACAATCATTGCATAATTACCCAAATGACCTTGGGGGGGATCAAAATCAGTGGGTAGGAGAGTGGGTAGAATCTCTCACAGCACAGGAATTGCGTAGAAAACGGATTGGGGGTCCAACAACCATTTTCAAGTTAGCTCGTTCACTACCAAAAAAAAGGGCAAAAAGTATATTCCCCTTGAATAGACTAAAGATGGATATTGGAGACTTCTATCATTTTTGCCAGCTTTATATATATATATATATATATGTAATTTTGTGTATGAATTTTTACCAGCCTTTTTACCATCCCATTTATCTCA